TCGTAACACTCTACTAACTAGGATTCAAACTGGAATTCTGTTCTTTACCCGCCACCGTGATGCCTGCCTCGCAACCACCTTAATTATCCAGGCTAACAACAACTTCCACCATAATAGATCACAAAAACAGAGTAGCCACACCAATAGTCAAACACCCACAAATCTAAAGATGAAAATCGAAAATTTTAAAATGAAAATCATAAATTTTAGATCTAATACAATTGAAAATTAAAACCAAATCTAAAATGAAAATCAGAATATAGAATAATTGAGAATATTCTAGATAAATTTGAATTAGAAGTGTTGAGAGAGAGATGAACTAGTTCAATATCATACCTTGGTTTAGGAGGAAGCGGCACAGAGCATTTATATATGAATTGAATGGCGCGGCGACATTAAATGCCACATCGACGACACGTGAAGTGTCAGTTGCACCAACCAGATCGAGAGAAGGAGTTAGCGAAGAGAGAGGAAAAGTTAAGGGGGTTAGATGAGGAAATGAGATGAGAGGGAAGTGAATGGTCGTTTGAGAGGAAAGAGAACCTAAGGAGTTAGGGTTAGAGTTTTTTTTTTTTGTTTTTTTCTATATTTTTTATTTAAATAAGTTAAACACATTCCATATAAAACGGTTAACACATAGGTGCGTTCTATAACTTGTAGTGTAAATTTTGGATATATAAAATAGAACGGTTAGGTAGGGGAGGCATTATATAGGTTTCAACATACAAAACGCTTATCTTTTATAGGAGTTCTATAGAGGTCTAGAGATCGCCTATTTAACTTGACAGTTGTGTATTATGTGTTGCTTTTTCCACTTTTTGTGATAGTGCAAGTATTAAAAAACTGAGGAAGTATATGATAGTTGGTGGTCTACTAAAAGAGAAAAAATTAATAAAAAAAGGAAACAAAGCAAGTAGTAAAATACGACCACAAAAGAAAAGTGAAGCAAGTAATAAAATATGGAGGGAGTACTATATTAAGTATATTGTGGATAATTCATACAGCTGATAATGTTATCTGTCCTATTAAGATTATCACACTTAATCACTTTTTATGAAAGTATTTTGTGTTAAATAGGGTGGAATAAAGGGAGTACAAAATAAATCGATGTAGATTTGTCATGTGCATAGAGAAATTTGTTTGATCTTGATTATTCTATTGCCACAAAGTAGTGGATGCGGCAAGCCGCATCCAATGTTTTGTAGTCAAGACTTAAGAAAGTATTAGATCATCGTCATCTTCTTGTGATGAAGAACAAGTTTCCACCCGATGACGAGTTGGTGGTGGTTATGGCGAAGGAGAGGAGCGAGATCATCCATGGCGGAAAAGAGAGAAAGCTTGAGATTCTCGTATTTTTTGAAAAATGACCAAAAATCGAATTGGGACTTTCTTATGAGATGTATTATTGTCGAAATTGATTGTCTCATATGATTTTATGTTGAAATTATGACCGTACCATTTTGATAACATATACATGTATTTTGGTTGAAAAATGAACAAGATATGTTATACCCATGACCTTTAGTGCGTGCACTTTAATGGAGGTTCCACCATTGTTATACATATTATCAAACAAATTATACATATCCTCAAACAAGTTATACATATCCTCCATTGGCTGGATGATATTTTATATTAGCTATATGATGTCATGGTTGGATTATAGCCTCAATTAGTGTAGACACCCATTTGTGTCTCCCCAAAACCAAACCCAGTGATGAGTGCCTTTCCCGTCGAATCATAATCGAATGAAACGAAAGTGTGGAAAGGTCTAGTGTTGCGGAAAATTTTATTTCTTTTCTTTTCTTTTCTCTTCTCTCTGTTTTTGAAAACTTTATTTTAAGAAAACGTCCATTCCAGTTTAGTTTGGTCCATGATAAGGGTCCAATAAGGGTGTAGTTGGATGGGGCTTGCAAAGACCTTTCCAACGATATATTATAAGCCCAATTCCGATGAATAATGAGGAAGTTATGGCCAAAATACTAAACTGGGCCCAAACCGGATTTTACCTACGACCCAATGATCATGAGGAGGGTTCAAAGGTTTAATCCTATTCCTAAACTAATTAGGATTGATTAGAATCTTCTATAAGTTTCTAAAATATCTTAATTATCCTTTTCTAAAAAGATAATATTAAGGAATTTGATTTAAATATAAACTTTCCTTTTTTTTATAAAACTTTCCTTTTTTAAAGTCCTAATTCTATTCGGATTTAAACATGTTCAAAGACAGTCAGATATTATTTTCGTGCTTCATATTTTATATCCAAATTTTATATGGTTGGATAGATCTTGAAATTATCTTTTCAATGATATATTATAATAATAATTCCGAGCTATAACGAAAAAGATATGAATAAGATATCAAACTCTATCCAAAACTGAAACCGTCTCACTATTTCGTTCATATCTTTTATTCTAAAATATATTTTAATCTGATTCTAATTGGGTTAGAAAGTAGAATTCAAGATCTTTCCAACGACATCTTATTCATCTTATTCCGATTTCTGGATCAAAAGATATGATAAAAACAAAATCCGCAAAAACTGTTGTCTACGAGTTTTATTTCGATTCGAATTTAGATTCTTTTCTTAATTCTTCGACTCTCTTTTTTCCTATAAATAGAGGTCATATCTCCTCTTAATCAATCACCAACTCTCATCAAGATTTTCTTGATTATTCTCTCTCTCTCCCTTTTTCTAAACTAGCCTTTTCTCAAATAAATAATTTCGCATTCATTAGATCTTGATACACCTAGCTATATTCGAAGTTGCCTTCGCCCTAGACGTGAAAGGTTTTAATTTCTGAGGGTTTGGTCCCAAATTTCTCTTTCAATTATTTAATTTAATTGCTTTGTTTATTATTTTCCTTGAAGTTACTAACGTGTGTATTTTGTTATTAGAAAGAGGTACGAGGCATCCAAGTAAGTACTTTAATGGTTTAATTGATATTATGATGTAGAAATCATGCTTAGATTGTTATTATGATATTCCTAATATCATGTCTAGGGTAATTTTAATATCAAGTATGATTAAAAGTATGATGCTTCCTATATTCTTCCTAATATTTATGATTGTTAGTATCATGTTAGGGCTAAAGATTTGATTTTTATTGTTTAGTGACATGCTAGGGTTTGTTATTAATCTTGTTAGTATCATGCCTAGGATCTTGCTATGTTTATTATGCCTTAATATTAACATGAACATGATTATGATTATAATTGTTATAATAATTTATGAATATTATTATTATTATTTTGATAATGATTATTTTTATTCATGATTACTATTATTATGATGATGATTATTATTATTATTCATAATTATTATTGATTATGTTGCTTGATACATTATTTATTCTTCATTGATTGATCACACCTTTTATTGCATGTTAAAGGGAATTGGCATTTGCAATCACGCTTAATAAGATAATTAATAATCTTGTTAGGTTAATTGTGATTATAATTCAAGTGATCACCAATAATAGTTTATTTGTGCATTAAATTCAACCAACATAGATTAAACAGGTTTAGGGTTAAATCTATTGATTGTATGTTAGTCAGAAAGCGCACATGAATACGAGCAGAATAAAGTAGAGGCCTATTATTAGGGCAAGTTCAATCTCTTTTAGGTTGGATTTGTACCATCATCCCCGAACCCTATTTTGGTTCATGACCTTATGGAGTTGACGATCTCTTGGATCGTTAAGGGGTGTAACCTTCACCTCGTGAACGGTTTACAAGTTCCTTAAAAACTTGTTGGCGACTCTTTTGCTCTATCTTCTTCCCTTTTGGACGCCACCGTACTTTAGTGTATGATCACAGTGGGGTTCAAGCTAGTGGGATTTTAAAGGCTTGAAACTATTCCCTACAATTAGCTATATGATATCATTTATGATTGTGTCTATGCTATCCTTTATTGGCTGGATGATATCCTCTGTTGCTATATGATATCATCTAGCCATGATATCTTATAGCCAATAGAGGATATCATCTACCTAGTAGAAATACCATCCATCCAATCAAGGATACTCCCTCCGTTTTTAAATACTTGCTCCGTTTCTATTTTTTGCACTATTTATTTGTCCTACTTTGACTAATGTTTGTGATTTATACATATGAAAAAATATAGTCTTGTGGGTACTTGTTGGAATCATATCAATGAATAGATTATTACTTTTCAATTGTTAGAATTTATACTTATTGATAATTAAAGATATTAGTGATCAAAGATTAGCATCGGCATGCGTGTCCAAGAGAAATGGTTCAAGTATTTAAAAACAGAGGGAGTATCATATAACCAACAGAGGATATTATCCAGTCAATAGGGGATATCATCCAGTCAATAGAAATATGATACAACCAATAAAGGGTATCATTTAGGCAATAAAGAATATCATCCAACCCATAGAGAATTATCCAGCCATTAGAAATATCATCCAGCCAATAAAGGATATCAGATAGCCAATAAAAGATATTATCCAGTTAGTAGAGGATATCATCCAACCAATAGTGAATATCATTAAGTCAAATGAGAATATAACAAATCTGCATTTTGTCAGTCTGGATTGTTCGTCAGTTCAGACTGACACAATACCTTCTCTTCTATTGCGAACTACTAACAATTTTCTCCATCACGAGTCAACAAAATTGACGCGGTGATTTGGTCGCAGTTGGTTCCCTAATTAAGCTTTGTAGAATTGCCTTTTGTCTTTTACCAAATGTCTATAGCTAATTAGACCATTATGAGAAAGTTACATAGGATGATGATTAGTTTTTTTTTTTTTTTGACAATAGCAAAGGGACGAAAAACTAAACTAAAAATAATTAAGCATACTTATGCGGCAGTTCTTAGCAATATCATTTGCCCTTTAACTTGGCACAAACTTTTAAATAAAACGAATGTTCAGTAAATTGCTGAACATCCGTTATAAAGTGACAATAAAAAGTGCAAAAGTTACACTAAAACGCACAAAAGTTATTCTGACATATATAAAAGTTATTTATGCTTCATTGATAAATTTCACAAAAGTGATACTAAATTTGACAAAAGTGACACTAAATTTGACAAAAGTGAACTCGATGTACAGTAAATTACTGAAAACCGGGTGTATACAAAAGTGATTGTTAACTTGGTCTCTTGACACCTTTAGAATGGTGCAACTAAAGAAGGAAGCACCCAACTCTTTTATCTCATTTACCGTCCATGATATCTCTAAGTCCTTTCCTTTTTCGCCTCTAAGGTTATTGATGAGGCTGCTCGAATCAGACAGAATGAGGATACCCTGTTTGCCCTGGGTCTGGGCCCACTTCATCCCTTCCAAGCATGCCCAAGCTTCACAATGAAGGGCTGAGTTCGCGGCTCTGTGTCTACCTCCTTCCCTTGTCGTCATTGCTAGCCCATTTCCCATGACTGACCAACCAATCCCTGCCCTCTTGGTCTTTTTATCCCAAGAACCATCCACGCTTACCCTGAAATTTGCAAAGCCCTCCTTTACTCGACCCAACTGAACATGATTGAAACCTGGTGGGGGCAGGTTCCCATGTCGTTCCTCCTCCATATTCTCATATTGTCGTTCATCCTCATTTGTGAAGGTCTCATGGTTTCTCATTGCTTGATCGATGAACTCCTTAACCAAGTTTCTTCCTCCAGTCCTACCATTGAAGCACCTCGCGTTTCTTGTTTTCCAAATTCCCCATAGCGTTGCTATGAACAGGGTAACACGGGAACTATTCTTACCATCCTCGCTATTAAACAGCAGGATAAATGATTGGATCCAATCTCTCAATGAGTCAAATCCAGTAGAGTCAGAGAAAATTGCCAGAGAGCTATGTCCCCAGACTTCCTTTGCTAGAATACATAATCTGAAAAGATGTTGGGTATCTTCGGGGTCCTCCCCACAGTAACCACACGTTTCGTCCATAGGAATACCCCTATTGGCCAAATTAACCTTTATGGCAAGACCATTGTGGTAGAGCTTCCATAAAAAGACCTTCCATTTAGGCTGGATATTCAGCCTCCAAATCAGCTTTACAAAATCCTGGTCCTTGTCATTATGAATGTCGCTTCTAGCTGATTCTTGCTCTCTCATAAGGAAGTAATAACCCGTCTTAAGCGTGTATCTTCCCGGGGGGTGGAACTTCCAGTAGATGAAGTCATCTTTGTTTGTAGAAGGAAGCTCCATTGACAAGATAGACCTTGCACTCCCTATATTTCTAAACAGGGAGGATAATGATTAGTTGATTACACGAAACAGGCTCTAACGGAATATATTTTTATTACACTCCCTTTATTTCTAAATGAATGGGTTAAACCTTAAAAATTTTGACCATAAACTCCCATTAATTAATAAGAGATAATATAATTAAATGTGGTCTCATTATATTCGTATTGTTATACATACTACATATTTTATATTAATAAATTTTTATAATTTTTTCTTTTATAAAATGGAATTATATACTTTTTGAGAGCATTTTGGAAATCATAAAACATTAATTAAGACAAAAAAAAAAAAAAAAAAAAAAAAAAAAAAGAAGAAGAAGAAGAATGGAGGGAATAGCTATTAAAAAGGTTTTTTTAAACTATGTTTCCCAAGTTATTCAATTTCCAAGTTGTATCCATATTTTTTCAAAGTTATAAGTTGTGCCCTCCACTTTACGATATTTTATCAACAATACCCTTTGACAGCCATATCCGTTAACAAAAGTTAAGTTATTTTATCGACAATGGTGTCGTGGCGTTATTTATTTGACACGTGTCCCATTCTAATTGGTTTAATACTTTTAAAAAAATTAAAAAATCAAAAAATAAAATAACAAAAAAGGTTATTATTAACGTCAAAGATTATTGTTAATAAAAATTAAGGAGGTTAAGGGCACAAATTAGACGTTCAAAAAAGCGTAGGCACATCTTAAAAATAAAGAAGTTTGAGGGCATAACTTAGAAAAACTAACAACTATTCGTACACTTCTTGCATTGAAAAAAAATTGTAATGCCAAAAAAGACAAAAATAATACAAAAGAGTAGACTGAAAAAATGCAGACGATAAAACAATTTCAGAAGATGAAAAATCTGGAACATGGTTATCAATAATGGATTATGGACCCTTGAATTTAAGATAAGCTCAAGAAAGATAAGTTACACTATTACAATGCATGTCTAGGAGTATTGGACATTTGGACCCCTTATCATAAATTCTTAACCGCTTGTAGACAAAAGTTGTACGAGACTACTTCCTTTACTCAATCTTTTTCTTTTATCACGCTTATTAATACTAAATTTAAGCTATTATTACTTTAAGTCTCCGTAAATAAATAAAAAATTATAAAATTTATATATTATGACAATATTTATTAAAACGAATTAAAAAAAATCCAGCATAAATATATTTTTCCTTACATATTATTCACCCAAAAAAATAAGATAAGGAGAGATAGTAAATAGTATAAAAGTCAAAGTGGGTCAAGTAAAAAAGAGCGGAGTTATTATTTAGAGGAAACTTAACCATTGTTTCAGCAAAAAGCCCCCATGCTTGATTGTTTGTTGTTGGTAGAGATGGTAGCCTTGGGTTGATCACTTCGTAACCATAAGGTCATAACTTCGGAGTCATTTAGGCAATCGAGCTTAAAAAATGTTCAAGCTAATTTTAATTTATTTAGGAGGTAGTAGTGTACATGTATGATTCATGATCGAATCATGTATTAATCAAGTCGCGTTTAAATACAAGCTTTTCTTATTAATCAACTTTATACTTTTGACCTTTGAAAATCTCAAAATCAAGCATAATTATAATGTAAAGCATTTTATTTAATGATCAAACTAGATTAAAATAAAAATCATGAGTAATTTAATAAACGTTTCTCTACTTGTAGCATGAAATAGATAATCTATTTGATTTCTTAAATAATACACAGAATAATTAATTTTTTTTATAAAAAAATATTGATTCCTCAAAATAGGTATATATGTCGCACTTTTGTGAAACAATTTACAAACATATACATAGTACTATTAAAGAAACGGATGAAAAACTCAAATTGCATTGTTTAGACAATACTAGGAGTATTACTTTTAATAGTTACCTAGTTGGTATCGAGTGTAATGCATGTTGATTGTGAACTAGCCTTCAATTCGACATTCAACAACTCATCCTTCAACAATATACTCCGTAATAAACACTCTAACTTAAATGTCCCACTATAACTAGTCAATCTCTTGTGGGATTCCATATACAAGCCGGCATGTGCATGCCTAGCAAGGATAGACACCATCCAAAATCCGGCCCACAAATGGCAGGAGCAAGCGCTTGCACGTAATACACAATTGAAACTAAGCTTCGACGTTAGAACAAAGTTCTGGCACGTTTGACTTTATTATAGATCGCCTAAATGATCACTAGCATTGCGACTGACGCAATTAGTGAGGTCATAAGACTATTGTCTGTGTATATATATATAACATCAATAACTTCATCACATGAAAAAAATAAGAGTAAAGACCAAAATGACAATGAACAACACCCTTAAGAGTGAAGTAGTAGTGGTAATGGTACCACTACCAGCACAAGGCCATCTCAACCAACTTCTCCACCTTTCTCATCTCATTGCCGCCTACGGTATACCGGTGCATTATGCCGGTTGCGCCTCCCACAACCGGCAAGTGAAGGTACGATGTAACGGGTGGGAATCAGAAAGCTTAACAAAAATTCAGTTCCATGATTTTGAACTCCCTCCTTATGACTCACCTCCTCCTAATGTCGACCTCATCTCTTTCCCCCATCATCTCCTACCCCTTTTCAAGGCTTCCATGCATCTTCGTCAACCAGTGTCTGTTCTCTTGCAGCAACTCTCGGGAAAGTTTAACCGAGTAATAGTCATTCATGACCTTGTTATGGCTTATGTTGTCCAAGATGTAAAGCTCATTCCGAATGGTGAAACATATAGCTTTAATCCTGTCTCCGCGTTTTACAATTTCTTATATTCATGGATAAGTATACCCGACAAAGAGAAGCCGTTTCAGTTGGATTCAAAAGATATCCCAGAAGGTATCCCCCCTGAAGATGATGGGTTTAGTACACAAGATATGACAGAGTTTTTTCTCAATCAAATGAAATTTCTCGGGTTTGAATCAGGGTGGATTTTTAACACCTCGAGAATTATAGAAGGTAGATATGTTCAGCTATTGGAGAGGTTACCTACAACAAAATCACAAAGAAATTACTTTGCCTTAGGACCTTTTAACCCGGTGAAAATCAAAAGTGAAAGCATGAAAAATAGACACCAATGCCTTAATTGGCTAGATAAACAAGGGAAAGATTCAGTGATATATGTTTCTTTTGGGTCGACAATATCACTGACAGATGATCAGATCACAGAGTTGGCTAACGGGTTGGAAAGATGCGGGGAGAAGTTTATATGGGTGCTTAGAAGAGCGGATCCAAACGACATTTTTACAGAAGCTGATAAAGTAAAAAAGCCTCAACTTCATGCAGATTATGAAGAAAGAGTAAAAGATAGGGGAATAATAGTAAGAGATTGGGCACCACAGCTAGAAATCTTGGCTCATCCATCAGTTGGCGGGTTCATGAGTCATTGTGGATGGAATTCTTGTATGGAAAGTATAAGTATGGGTGTGCCGGTTGTAGCCTGGCCTATGCATTCCGATCAACCAAAGAATGCATTTTTAGTTAGCAATGTACTAAAAATTGGTGTAATGGTAAGAGAATGGGAACATCGTGGTGAGATTGTAAAGTCAATTACAATAGAGAATGCAGTTAAGACACTGATGGCATCACAAGAAGGAAAAGAGATAAAGATGAGAGCTGCAAATATTGGTGAAGCTGTGAGAGGATCAGTTGCTGAAGGTGGTGCTTCCAACTTAGAAAGGGATGCTTTCATTTCCCATATCTCTAGATAGTTCTACCTTTTAGCCTTATTTCTGTTGCACATTTTCTCAATTCAATATTGTTTTTTTTTTTTTTTCCAAATATTGTTACATTCCTAATTTATAATAATATATATAGAGAAAGGGCATCTTTAATAATAAATTTCACTATTTCGAAATTTCCCTTCTTAATTTTTAAAATTACCTTACAAGTAAAAAATGGTAATTTTTTTTACAAAAATAAAAATAATTACTTTATCACAACTGCTTTCACCCCTTGTAATAACTGCAACTACTCTTGATTTTTTACTATTAATGGTTTATTTATTTTTACACAGGACAAACTGATAATAAATAACGAAGGTTTTAATAAAGAGGATAATATAGTTTAATTAGTTTCTACTTTTTAAAAAAAAAAAAACCAATTAGTTTCTTATATTGCATATACACGCATTGCGTGTGTTTCTTACATTGTAAATATAAAAGTCAAATCAAATTTTCATTTAAACAAATTGTTGTAAGGATGTCGATCTGTCGATCTCACAACTAACTATTTTATATCTTGTTAAAAAAATCAGTCGACATCTTTAATTATAAGGTATGGGGCAATGAGACTATTAATAATTCTGAAAAACACTTTGAAAAATATATACTACGTACTTGTAGCCGAACAATGGACACGCGCGTATAAGTATATGATTGTAGTTATGGAGATAGTTCATGTGAAGAGAAGCATTTTCATCAAATAGAGACCATATAAAATGGCAGGACTATAATGTTTGCCGGAATGATCGATTTCGTCACGTGGTGCATGATTGGTAGTGAAAATGGCTACTAGCTGAGTAGCTGATGAGAAGTTACATGGTTATAAAACATGTCTAATCTTTTTCTACCGTATAAAAAATTAAAAATCTCTTCATCCGAGTACTATTTAGTACTCCCTTTGTTTCTAAATTATATTCCTACTTCTATCATTTATTCCTCACATAATAATGAAAAGTAGGAATGTAATTTAGAGGCGAGGGAGTAGTATATATTGACATCAAAATTATAAAGATTTGATTTATCATTATCCTTTGCATATTAATGCAAAACATTATTTTTATAGTCAAACCAACTTATCCTACCTTTGTTAATCGTTATCTGCAACATTGGAATATTTTATATTTCTCAAATAATACCCCAAAAATTGCAGATAACAATTAACGGAGATAGTACAAACAACTTTTCCTAAAAAATAAAAATTAAAAAATAAAAGTTATACAAACAACTAACTCAACTTAATAAGCTCTCATTTTTTTTCATTTAAAAAAAATATATACTTAATAAGCTTTTAGTGACAAATAAGGCCAAAGTATAATTTGATTTTGGTAATAAATTTATAATGACCCGAGGCATCGCTCGAGCCAAAAACTAGTTTGTTGGACTTAATGATTTTGATGATAACACAACCTCACTTACTTACAGACTAATAAGTGTTTGATTGTTTAAGTGTGTGATCAGTTGCAAAGACCAGAGAATTGAGGGGGCGTTTGGTTCGCGGATTATAGGTATGAGGTATGAGTTTAGAATGACCTCATACCATATTTTTGGTTATCAAAAATATGATTTTACCCATGAGGTATGGGTTTAGAAATCTTGAGAGGGTGGGTTTGGCTCATTCCATTCCTTTAGGTATCAAATACATGAAATGAAGGGGATGATATTCCATTCCAAAATTGAACCAAACACATGGTATTAAGTATCAAGTTCCTACCCGATATCACCTTAACCTTATTCCTGATTCCAAACCTATACCACTTTATGAACCAAACACCCCCTGAGTGTCTTGTGAAGATACCATGAGGAACAAGAAGGCCAGAAGCAAAGTTGTCCAAAAACAAGAGTTCCTTTGTAGGAACTGGTGCCTCAAAAATGAAGACTTGAGAAGAGAAGGTTCCCCTCAGGGAACATAAGCTTTAGAGCACAAGCTTCATCAAAGAAGAGAAGTTCCCCTTGAGGAACAGAAGTCTCAGAGTAGAAGCTTCATCAGTGAACATGAAAACTAAATATATTTTTATACTTTAGGATTTAGGTAAGTATAAGGATAGAATTATACTCGAAAATTGCTGTGTGGAATCAGTCTAAATAGTGCTAGAATGTTTTTAGGAAAACAGTTTTTCAACGTTTATCTTTTCTAACAAAAAAGATTTTATTTTATTCAGAATTTCAAAAATATCTTTTTAACAAATAAAATCTGATTTTAAGTTTTCCAAAACTTGCGGCCTACTTCCCATGATCTTCTTCATGTCATAGCCAAACACATTGAGGAGTTTGTGTTTCCTTGAATTAAGGAACATGATCTTCTTAGTGGGTTGGAGTAGTGGCGTAATGGAGTTGCTGCACAAAGAAGATTTTCCAATGCGTTTATTGTTCTATAAATAGTCTTTGAAATCTGATGGAAAAATTCACTCTTGCTCAATTAAGTTTTCAGCTTTTGTCTTCTTTATTAGTCAAGAGTCCAATTCCACATTAGTGAAATAGAGTGTTCTTATACTAGAGTTATTACATTTGAGTTGTAATTTAGGGAATGGGGAAGTTTGAGTGAAGAAAGAGAAGAGAAGAGTAAGAGAAAGAGAAGAGTAACAAGTTGGGTGACTTGTTCCTCGGGGTTTCAAGTTCGTTGAGGAACTTGAAGTTTGAGTCTTTAGTTTTGATAGGACTATTTTCCCTATTCTAGTAAAGATTTTTATCCCAAAATCCCAAGTGGCCATAGTTTTTCTCCTTATTAGGGCCAAGAAATTTTCACTACTAGAAGACAAGCCATTTCCGACGGAATTTTTCCGTTGGAAACACCCTTAAATCCGTCGGAAAAGCCCTTTCCGACGGAATTCCGTCGAAACTGGTTGTCGGAAAAGCCTTCGTAGGAAAAACGTTCCGTCGGAAACTTTTTTATGACAGAATTCCGTTGTCGGAACAGATCTTCTGGCTCCAGCAAAGTCCGTCGCAACTTTCCGACGAAATCGTGTCCGTCGAAAAGTTACGACGGAATTTCTGTCGGAAACTATTTCAATTAAAAAAAACAAAACACGCCGCACCACCCAAGGGCACGACGGGTCACCACCCTAGCCCAACAGCAGACCACCACCGCCACTACCCTACATCACCCACAACCAGCCTCTACCCCTCACCCACCGCCACTCTAGCCCAGATCTAAACTATCCCATCTTTACTAGAACCAGATCCACCCACCATAACCCGAACCAGACCCACCCACTAACCCGAACCAGACCACCCACTAACTCGAAACGACCATTTTCACCACCCTAACCCATCCAAATCAACATCTACCACCAAGACAAACCCAGATCTACAACCCTAATACTACCAACACCCATCCAAAAACCACCACCACCGCCAAAAACCAGAATCACAAAAAAAAAAAAAAAAAAAAACAAAACAAAACCTAAAACAAGAAAACATACCTTAACAACCAAAGCTTTGAATTTCCACCCGAATTTGTTTTAATACGGCTAAATTCGACCTTGAAACCTCTAGATCTATAGATTTCATGGTCGAATTTGGCCATATAAACCATTAATATGTATGAAATATAAAGAGAATGAACCATTGGCGACCGTGAGAACAAAGTTAAGGGGAGAGAGAAGACCGTGAGATAAGAGAAAGTGGAGGGAGAAGGAGACCGAGGAGGGAGAAGGAGACCGAGGAGGGAGGAGGAAGGAGGAAGGAGGAGTTGAGAGAGAAAGAGAAGACAGGGGAAGATCGAAAAATTGAAGAGTAAGAGAGGAGAAAAAGGGGAAGAAAGAAGAAAGGAGAGAGAAGGGGAAGCGAGAAACTGAATGAAAAGGGGGAGGAGTTGCGGCTCAATGAAATAAAAGAGGGTTGAATGTTAGGGTTTCGGTGTATTTAAAAAAAGAAAAAAAATTCCGACGGAATTTTCTGTCAAAAAGCCCATATATTCCGACGGATTTATATTCCGTCGGAAATTTCCGACGGATTTTGAAAATCCGTTGGAAATTTCCAACGGATTTTTTTTCCGTCGTAAATTCCTATTTTGGCGACGGATTTACGTGTCCGTCGGAACCAGTCCGTCGGAAATAGGCCTATTTCTAGCAGTGAATTTCCACGTAAAAATCTCTTGTATCTTTTAGTTCCTTTAGCTTATCTTTCAGTTCCTCTAGCTTACTTAGTTTAAATTACGCAAAAAGTTTAACCATATTGTCATACTACAATTCAACCCCCCTTCTTGTAGTATTCATGGAAATAACATATTTGATTAGTTTAAATACTCGTACTTCAAAAACAAAGGAACGGGAAAAATTCGAGTATATACGTAGGGGACAACTAGGAAGGACTTAGGGGCGGCCAAAAACCGATCCGTGTCGGAAAAATGGATTATTAATTTATAATGTTAGTGTGTACTATTTACACGTATATACTTAGCATTGTTGATTGGGTGTTTATATGTTTGTTTGGCCCTCTCTTTATCTTAGTCCTACAACGACTCATTTCAAATGGCGAGTAGTGGGGACAAAGTAAAGAGAAGTTTTTTAGGTGACGAAACATATTTATGATGTGCATGGGTCACTACAAGAAATAAGCTATTTTGCGACAGCCAAAAGTCGCACATAACAATTAACGGAGCTAGTATAATGGTCTTTACATACTATCTCAAAATGAAAACAGAAACATAATTTTGGATATCCAACATAGGAAAACAGGAATTATATTATGAGACGGAGAGAGTATAGAAGAAAGTCACATAGGACAATGATCACACGAGATAAATATACTCCACATTTTGAATATCACTGCTAAAAGCTTTGACCAACTATTCAAATCGTCTAGAAAGAAAGAAGAGTCGTAATGGCAAAAAAGAAAAATAAAATACAACAGACTAGACTAAACTATGGAGGGGATACAACCATTTCAGAAGAATTGTCTAATGTCTTTGAATAATCTGGAAACTGGCCTGGTCATCAATAATGTGACCCTTGAAGATAAGAAAGCTAAGTTACAATGCAATGTCACGGAATATTTTGATTTGTAAACAATAACAAAAAGCTTGTCACAATTGGACCCCCTTAACCGCTTGTAGACAAAAGTTGTATGAGACTTTTATTTTGTGGAAAATTAAATAACCATTTAGAAAGTTGTAGTGTTCATGTACGATTCACGATTGAATGTTAATCAAGTCGAGTTTAAGGCCTTGTTTGGTTGATATGGAAAATAACTTTCCATGGTAATTTATAATTTATGGGAAGTTATTTCACTCATTCAATTCTTAGGAATATAATCTAATTTGTTTGGTTGGTATTAAGGAAATTATAATTTATGGGAATTTTGAATGATCTAGGGGACCTAGGTAATTTACTTCCTAATGTGGTTATTTTAAATGGATTCCAACTTCCTCCATTTTGCACTTTTTGGTTAACCAAACAACTTATCAATTTTGCATTTCCTAGGAATTTTGAGTGTCTATGGAAAATTAGTTTATTAACAACACCTAAATACAACTTTGTACTTTT